AGAATGTCAGTTACCGCTGTTCAGCCCTAGGGGAAGTATGTAGATGCAGTTGTTCCTCTTGGATCCTGGTCTTGAGTAAATGGGCCTGGATTTTCTTCTGTATTGACTCCCTCAAGGGCCTGGCCCTGTGTGACTGCCTACAACATATGTAATTAACTTAGTTCTCTATACTAATAGTATCTATGTTATATAGGACACATGATATATACCTGCATGCCATTATATATCACATATATGAATTGTGTATCACACATATATCAATCTGCATATCAAGTACATATATCTATACAACATATGCATATTCTGTATTTTCATACACAGATGATGTTTCTTCAGGCTCAACACTAGTACACATAGGTGCACAAACACGCATGTGCACATCACACACACACACACAGTCCTGGCACCAGTAACAGCAGCTTGCAGAACCTGAAGGAAACAGGTGGGAGGTGGTGGTCTTTGAGTCAGTTTTCATATCCTGCAGTGGTTGAGGCTTTGGAAGGGCAGCCCCCGATCTGTTGATTTTGGCTGCCTGGCCCTTCTACCTCACTCTGTGTGCTCTGCAGGGCTCCTCAGATGATTGTGCACAAAGAGAGCATCCCATGAGCCTGGGCTCCCATGGCATCCAAAGACAAAGACATAGTGCCCTCACTGGGCTCCCCCTGGGACGCCATCCTCCAGGCTGCCAAAGACCAGCTCCCGTCCCTGGACTCCGACTCCTCCTTGGTGAGCAAGAGCTTTCTCCTAAGCATCAAGTGACCTTCCCATGATGTGCATGACACCGGCCAAGGACAGCTTTGGAGCACTCCTCTCTGAAGACCTCCCTCCACTCTATGGGATTTGTTTTCCTTTTCCTTTCACTCTTCTGGCCTTAAAGGTGTTTTCTAGTACCCACTTCCTTCTTTATCTTTCCTTCTGCATTTGTCAGTATCTCTGAATACATGTATTGGTCCTCAGCATCCACCATTTCAGTGGTGGTTCTGGGCTCCACCTGTAAGCCAGGTGAGCTCTGCTGCTAAGTTCTTGAATTTTTGTGTGTGTCTGTCTACCACAGAACTACACCCCTAGCCTTGCTGTGCTGTTCTTGACAAGACAAGGCCAGCCCCACCACTTGGAGTGGTGACCATACCAGTGCATTGTGATAAGCCCCTGGAGGGTTTCTGCAGTTGTGGTTTGGGTCACCTGAGGTGGCCCTTGAGGATCCTTGACACCAGTAACCATATGTTCACATGTCTATGGGCAGTGATACCTCACCTTATGTGACAGTGCACTGGCAGGGGTTCTCAGCACATAGGCTGGCACTGGGCATTTACAGCAAAGGCAAGGGTTTTAGAAGAGGCAAGGTTGGTGTTATACCTGGGCAAATATGAATGTGCCAAGAGCTTCTGGGTGCTCAGGGCTTAACTAGGCACAGTGAGATCAAGCAATGGGTAAGGCAATCCCAGTGCCTCAGTGTACAGAACACTTCGTGTCTTATGATGTCCCTGTAAGATGGAGGGCACATATAAGGCTCCCTTCTTTAGCAATAGCACACCAAGGCTTTATATCATATCACATCATTAGGTGGTGGCTCAAGGTAGGGAGGCAGCTAGGCTGTGCTCTTAGCCACCACCACCCCCTGCTACTCCCTCAACAGCACCCCCACTCCTAAATGCTGTTATTCAGCACCAGGCATTAATGCAGCACTTGCTGTATGTGAGGTCTGGGGGGTGGCGGGCACTTATAGAACAGGGAACCATGGATCTCACCCCCACAAGGTGGAATTGCCAAGCTCGTGTCTGGATCAGTGGCAGGAAGCAGCAGAAGGCAGGGATCTCTCTTGATGCCCCTGGGTAGCAGGGGTGGGGGGGCACAGGTGCTGCCATGTCACCCAAAGCCCCCTTGTCTGCCCACAGTCAGACTTTGACGAAGAGGAACCATTCATCTTCCAGCGAAACCAACCTGTCCTGATTCCAGACCTGGCTGAGGAGCTGGCTGAAGACCCTGCTGGTAGAGACAAATCTGGGACCTGGGTCCCTGGAGCTAAAAAACCTCCACCTGAGGTCTGTGGGACGCAGGCTAAGGGAACCCATGATGTCTGGCACCTTGCTGGCAGAAGGGAGTATGTGTCTGTCCACAGCTCTCGGGACTCTAAACATCAGTATGGGTCCACAGTGCCTAAAACTGCTGGTCTAGCATGTGGTACACTCAGTCCTTCCACCTTCAGGGACAAACCAAAGTATTCAGGGGCCCAACTGCTAAGCATGTGCATCTCTTTTCCCTAAGACGCCCAGCACACTTCTCTGTCTGATTTTGCCCTCTGCTCTCCCTCTAGTCCCCTCCTTTCCTGTTTTCT